GGCGGGTGTAGTAGGACATCCCAGTTAAGCGCTTCTAACGTTTCCTTGACCAGTTTCGCAACATGTGGCCGAGCGTTGTCGTGCTGGAAAATCACTTTGTCGTGTCTTTTCGCGTAATCTGGCCGTTTTTGCTTCAATGCTCGGCTCATTTGCATCAATTGTTGTTAGTAGCATTCCCCAGTGATGGTTTCGTTAGGTTGGAGCAGCTCATAATACACTACACTTAGCTGACCCCACCAAATACAGAGTATGAGCTTGGCGCTATGAATATTCGGCTTTGCCGTCGATGTTGATGGTTCGCCTGCGCCATGATTTTTTGCGCTTCGGATTATCGTAATGTACCCATTTTTCATCACCCATCACGATACGATGCAAAAAACTTTTTCTTCTGTGTCTTTGAAGCAACAATTCACAGATCATTTTGCGCCTTTTGACTCGGTTTCAACTCGTATGGCACCCAATTTCCTTGCATTTCATTCCAATGGCCTTCAAACGACTGGAAATCGTTGATCGATTTAATGATTCAACATTTAATGATTCTGCAAGTTCTTCTTGCGTTTGACTCGGATCTTGATCGAGTAAAGCTTCCACTTCCTCATCTTTAAACTTTTTCGGCTGGCCTGGACGTTCCTTGTCTTCTGTGTCAAAATCACTTTTTTTATAGCGTCGAAACCAGTACTTACATGTTGAAATCGATGGAGTATAGTCACCATAAGCTTCCGACAGCATTCGTTGACTTTCAGCAGCACTTTTCTTCAAATGGAAGCAAAAAAGCAAAGCTTCCCGCAAATTGCGTTTTGTTGGCACTAAATTCGACATATTCAATGCTCAAATAAACAATGTTGTTTACATTTCGGCAAAATGACACATACTGAAAACTAAAGCCACATGTTGATGCTTTGACATGAAGGTAGCAACAATATGCCGATGCGATATAGTACTAGTTACGTCATTTCTTGAAAATCCTTTAAAATTAATGCATACTCTCAATAGTTAGCAGGCAAAAGATAAGTTGACCGCGAGAGAAAGAAGCCCACCTGATTTGCATCTAATTTGCCTATTTAACCTCAATTGATGTCTCTCGAGTGTACAGGATGTATAAATATTTTTTAGTACTATATAATGTGTGTTCGACTATACAGAACTCGAATTTTACTCGTAATAAAGAAATTGCAGTTTTCCAACATTCTCTTTTTCTATAAATGTCCTGAAAATGTCCTGAAATTTTTCTATGAAGGTCTTATCAGTCAGAAAACAACATCAAATAAAAAGAAAATAAATTTTATATTATTATGAATTTTATATTATAGTATGTGAACCGCATGTTATAATGCTTTTACGTGATTCATAATGCGTCCTACCTTGCGTAAGGATCTTGTTAATCTTTTTAGTCTATTATAGACTTATAAATATATTTTTAGGAAAAAAAAGGCGACGGTTTAATGAATATATTTATAATACATCCAATAACTGATATAATTATGTTAATATATACAGGGTACCCAAAAGATGGTACCAAATTTTAGGGGTATGTAGTACTCGTTAAAACACACCTAAAACTCTTAATGAACAGTAGTCCGAAAACCTTTTATTTCTGAGTTATGAAGCATTTGTTCTGTGAAAAATAGAAAATAGAAAATAAATTAAATCTACAATATATGTTCAATGTGCCTTCGGCTCATGTCAATACACATTTCGGCATGTTTCGTCATTGAAGGTCAAAGAGTCCAGGTTTATTTCGTATTTGTTGACAACAGTTTCCAAGTCTCTTAGTCAGTTTATTCACGGACGCCCATTTCAAGAAAGGTGGATAGGACGTGGCTGTCCAGTTATATGGCCACCTCGCTCACCGGATTTAAATCCGTTGGATTATTATCTATGGGGATACTTGAAGAGCATGGTATATGCTACAACAGTTGATACAATAGATGAATTGACTTAGAGAATTGAAAACTGTTGTCAACAAATACGGAATAAACCCGGAATCTTTCAACGTGTCCGATCTTCAATGAGAAGACGTGCCGAATTGTGCATTGAAATGGACGGAGGGCACATTGAACATTTATTGTAAATTTTAGTTATATTCTATTTTTTACAGAATAAAATGCTTCATAACTCAGAAATAAAAGGTTTTCGGAATACTGTTCATTAAGAGTTTTTGGTTTGTATTAACGAGTACATACTCCTAAAATTTGATACTACCTTTTGGGAACACCCTGTATATATATATATATATATATATATATATATATATATATATATATATAAAGAATAATAAAA